ATGAGTGAGGGAAATGTTAAATTTCTTCAAAAGATCTTTTTCATTAGTAAATGCCACCTTCATTCAACCGATTCTGATTTCTGAGATAAAAAGGTATGCTGAACAATTTATTATTGTTGGCAATATTTCAATTTGTATTGGGAGCAAACTGTGCCACTAAAGCTAGTCGTTGTAGTGTTATGCTTCTAAAATAAATTTGTAAAATGAAGCAGATTTGGATTTAAAAATATGGGTTGTAAAATGTGAAAATGAAATAGTGTCCAAAAAGTAATTTGCACATGGTAACAGTCACGTCTTATTGAACCCACGATGTTAGTTGGGTGAACCTTTTAATGTAAGAGCTTTTGAGATGGTATATAATTTAATTATATTTTTTAGTGATTTGTTCATTTAAAATTTTTAAATGCAGAATTTTCCAAGTGTACTGTAACAATGACTCAAGTGACTGCCAAATATGCCATGTTCTCCTCCCTTCCCCTTACTGTACGTTTTTATGAATTAATGACATCTGGAATTAAGTGTTTTAAATTAATTAATATGTAATATCGCACAGATTATATAATTTTATAGCAATTATGATATTGAAATAACTACATGATGAGTTTTAACAATCAATGGTGTATTGTCTGTTGTACAGTTTGTATGTATCTATTTTGTTTATCCTGCTTATAATAAATATCTAATGATACATGGAAATTATGCAAATAGACTAAACATTACAAAATATTATCATTATCCCAGCACGTAAAAACACTATACAGAAACATTGATGCGAAATTACATTTGTAATCACTAAACTTCAAATTACTAAACTTCAAATCACTAACAACAATTATTAAATAACACAATAAGTTATACAGAAATGTGTAAAAAATAGACAGAATCAAATTTTTATTTTTGCTTTTCAAACTTCAACAATGCTATGTTAAAATCATTCTCTATCTGTCCCCCTAACTTTGTGACACAGATTTTAGCTAATGTATTTGTTGACTCGATATAAACATAAGGTAATTCGCCTGTTTGAGCAATTAGGACAGATAAAGTTGCCAATGTGATACTCGAGAACCCTCGTCGTCGGTACAAGGGTACACAGTACCCAAAATCTATTTCTCCCATTGGACTGTGAACTGACCAAGCTACTGGGTCGCCTCGCAAATTGTATATAGCTACTGACATATATTTTTCAATTATCTTAGTAAAATTAAGAGAGATTGGGTCAGATGGAAAGGAATCCAGCAGCAATGATCCGTGTATCGGTTTTAATGAACCTTTCCAAAAACCACTAGGAAGGGCTACATTTGCAATTTTCTCTAAACGATCCGTGTCCATCATGGAAACCAAACAATACTCTTCAATTTTAGTCAGGTAGAATCCTTTATTATTACAGATTTCTTTAACAACACCAATACATTTTTCTGGTACAGATTCAAACATAATTTGGTCATTTTTCCAGTTCAGCAGCCCTGGCGTAGTTAAAACAGTCTTCAGTCCAGAGTTACATGTTGAGTACGGTAGACACATTGATATGGGAGTCGTATAATAATTATTCGATACTCCTACAACTGTTGTACACATATCAATTTCAGCGGCGTCAGTATAGACGTCGATACACGGCCATGAATTTCCTGTTCGGAGGCTGTTTTTAATCAACCAATACACTTGGCGAGAACCTGGCATCAACTCTCTTAAACGATGCAGGAGACTTGGTAGCGTACTCATGGTTCTTTTCACCGACATTTCTGCAAAAATCAAATTCAATTCCATTATATTATAACCCAAAAAGGCCACTTTCACCAATCGAAACAACCATTGAATTGTTGAGTAAACTACTTTGTTATATTTGTGCCTTCATTGGTTTTGTATAATAAGGTTTTCATGGCAGTGTGAAACAATTATAATTTGGTTGGTTGAATATTTAGAGCAGATATTAATAAATAATTCCATATGTGCACATGCAATTCTCATTAGTAAATTGTGTATTTGATCAAGCCATATTCTACAATGCATTTGAAATTAAGTAAGAACAATTTGAACTAATTGACTTAAAATATGATTTATTACACACGTCCTGCACTACATTTTCTGTTATTTTATTTGGGGACAGAAAACAATTATGTATGTCATGAATTCAGCAAATGTTCATGGAAGAATTATTGAAAGCAAGAAACCTATCGCTTTTTTATATTTTGATTAAAAAATGAAACAATAATTGGTTGATGCTTTCATCGACATTTGAAGTCTTTTTTATTTGTGTGATTCAAGATGGCGATTCTTTGCATAGCCAGATGATATTTTTGAACACATACGAATGTTGATTTATTACAAGCATACCACGGAGTCAATATTTGTTGCGTAATATACACGTTATTAGTTATTTTCTGATGTTCATTTACTTGTAAATATTCCCATGTGGGTATTGGTATTTTACAAGCTCAGTTACTGTGCCGTGATGTCATGTGTGTTAGTTGTCTGCATAATGCATAATGACTAAAAATATTGTGACCAACAGTAACCAAAATAATACACAAACATTCTCACTTATTGTGTATGAAAGGTTATTAAAATTCATCTCATCGCCAATTTAGAATGAAATTAAGGCTAGCATGCTTAAAATATCACGCGCCTACCACTGCATAATTTGGATCGAATGGATTAAAGCGGCAAATATTCTGCGTATGTAGCCTACTAGGTTTCTAAATAAACGCAGTTTTTGCATATTCGAGATTTGACAAAATTTAATGTTCGTTCTAGTTGTTACCTAATATATGCACATATTCCTTGTTTGGCAAATGAGAAGACCGTAGTATACAATACGTAATATATATGTAGAAACGACATTGTATATGATTATGTGTATGATATTATTGGGTTTCCTATTTTTTCAGGTTTTTTTACCAGTGTTTTCCATTCATGAACTATATTTCTGCCAATCAGCAAACTACCTCCTGAACTAATGACTGATATAGTCGCCGCTTTTACTATAGTGAAATAAATACCATAATTTACTTACAGCTGAGAAAGATATGATTGATAATAGTTGATCGTTGATATACAGTGTAGTTGCAAAATTGTATGTGCATACGTAGGCTTATTTATAACGCAGTTTTAAATGCTACCTGCATTATTTAAACAGCTACAATGATAACATCACATGACAATGGTATCACGTGACTATGGTCCATGTTAATTACAATTTGCGATATAAACAAGCCATTATCTATAGTCCCCGTCCAGTTTTTAGTTTCCGTGTCAAATACAAAAAAAATGACAGATGTATATTATATTTAAATGTTGCAGGAGTATTCGCATGTTAATGTGTTACAAACTGCGCACAGTATGAACAAAAATATGATCTCCAGTCCACATTTTGGATTAAATTACAATGCATCCAAACCATCATCCATCAATATTTAACCCATGTTTGAGTACAATCTACAATGCCTGAGAAATGATTGACATGTTTAAATGCTATTTGGGACCAACACTTCCAGCGGTCAAATTGAAAAAAACAAATATATGTGTATACTATTGCTAAACCTTACTTTGGAATTGAGGAGGCATCCATTGTCCAAAGATAAAATGTATAAAATGTCTTTAGCAAATAGAAACAGTGCATCAATATAATTGCCTTTGATACCCCTGTTAGTTCATGTCCTTTTATAGTTTTTCGTGCCTCTTTTTTTACAGCTCAAGCATATGTTCAATGGAACATGAATATGGAACTAGCTCGTCTACCAACTATTTATAATTCAGATTACAGAGAATACAATAAACTCATACGAAGAGTATGCAATGTTTGGCAATTATATGCTGGATGATTCACTTTTGTTGGAATGGTTCTTTATGAAATGAAATCGGGCAATAACAATTACAATGATGTAGTGACTGGGCACGTCAAATGTATATGTGGTTGATACCAATAATGGCTCATTGTTTTGATTTGCAAGTGTTTCCATGTTTACGAGGTTTTCCGGCTCAGGCTAACAATATGTCACACAGCAATATAATCACAAAAATGAAATAAATTAAACTCTTTCACTTTATTTATCATGACAAGTACAATTTCTTTATTCAATGAGTAATTAGTTAATATTGAGTCATTTTAATAATATGCAATTCTGAATTATGAGATGTAGTTGTTGCTATGGTTATGTATACCACTTCTGGTAGAGTTGATACCATTTCTGGTGAGTTGTTGTACAATTATTCGTCTGTAATATAATGAATAGGATTGTAATTGTCACTAATTTCTGGTATTTAAATGATTCTCTCGCAGTAGGTTTGTTGTACTATAGTAAAGAAATACTCAAACTGTAACGTTATATATGATAGCAATGGACGTTTTATTGCTAGTGTTTAAATGTCTGGCATTAATTACCTAATTGTTTGGCCGTGTGTGGCCCGCCAAGAGTTGGTGTGTGTTACCAAATGCAGACAAGTGTCCCGGAAACAAACTGGTTAGGAGAAATACAACAAAAGTTATCCTAAGTTATTCAGAAAGCCCAAAATGAGAAACAAATATGTTTTATTCTTGGCCTAACGTAACAATTCAAAGTGATGCATGGAAATTAATATAGCAAGAAT